CTCTGATGCACATATGGTCTATGATTCCTTATTCCTTGCTGTTAAATGAAGTTGTACTAAAGAAGTTTGTGCTCTGTCTTTATCTTACTGTTCTGAATCCTGTTCTTTTTCTTAGGAAGACATTAGATATTGGTGTATTAGATTCCAGACATTTTCTTTGAGCCAGGTTTAACATCAGTTTGAAATAAAAGACTGAGATTGATTTACACTACAAAGAAAAGAAGTCTTCAGCGACTTCTTTGGCTTGTGAAGTGTTGATCAAATTATATCACTCTTTAGGTATTGTGAAGAAAGGATTCACATAGATTTATATATTTGACATTGCTTCTTTGAAATCCAGTTTTTTGGAAAGTCAACTACTGAAGTATAATTTATATTCAATAGCACTCTCATTATAGGTGTACAGTATAATGTGTTTTGACAAGTGTATATAGTATGTTACCATACCACAACTAAGATTCAGAATGTTTCATTTTTGTCATATCCTTTGGCTATAATCTTTCCCATCCTTACCCTAGCTCTGTATCTGTTAGTGTCTTTTCTTCCTTTAAAGGTTAGTATTGCCTAGTCTAGGATCTCATGAATATGAATATAGAATCATACATGTTGTCTGAATTCTTTCACTCACCATGATGTTTTTCAGATTCATCCGTGTTATTACATTTATTAGTAGTTCATTCCTTCTTATTGCTGAGTGGTATATCATTGTATGGTTATATCACAACTGATTTATCCAACTGATTTGATAATAGACATTTGCTTCCAGTTTGGGGTTTTTATGAGTAAAAAGCTGTTACGAAAATTCACTGATAAGCCTTTATGTGCACATATGATTTCATACATAGAAATGGAGTTACAGGGTCTTAAGAGTAAAGCAAAATACTTGTACAGAGAGCAAAGTATAGAGAAAGTTCTAAGTCTACAAAAGTAGTAGAATTAATAAGCAAATTTATCCAAGTCATGGGATAAGGCAATATTGAAAAGTCAATTGTATTTCTATATATTAGCAATAAACATAAAATAGAAAAAAAATGCCACTAAGAATAGCATACCAAACACTATGAATTAGTTAGAGATAGTTTTAAAAATATGACATACAGAAAACTGCAAAACACTGATAAGAAAAATTAAGACTTATATACATGTAGAGATATACCTTGTTTATGGATTAGAAGACTCAGTAACTCAGTTATTTCCCAAATGATCTATAAATCAACTCAATCCCTATCAAAAGCAAAATCCCTAGGTTTTCTTATAAAAATACAAAGAACCCTGGGTTTTCTTATAGAATACAAATAGAATGCAAAACAGTCTTGGGGATAAAAAGGATATATAGCACACTAGCATGTCATTTTAAAGCTTACCATGAAGCTGCTGAAATTAATAAAGAGTAGTATTGGCATAAAGGATCAGTGGAACAGAATAGTGCCCAGAAATAGACCCATCATTGCTTTTCAGTGAAGGTGCCAAGATAATTCAGTGGGGAAAGGAGTGTATTCAAGAAATGGTACTGGAACAACAGGGTATCCATCCATGTGCAAAGGCAAAACAAACCTTGACTCACACCACATAAATTAAAATGGATCATAGAAGTAAATATATTCGTGAAAACTATAAAACTTCTAGAAGAAAATGTCAGAGAAAATTTTGCATTAGGCAAAGATTTCATGAACCAGGAAAGAAAATGTACCATTAACGTAAATAAAAACACAGGCTAGAGACTTGGAGAAAGTTTTTGAGGTGTGTGCATGTTTATGTATGTATATGTATGTGTGTATGACTTGTGTTCAATATATAAAGAATTCTTACAATTCAAAAATAAGAAAACAGCCCACTTACAAAACTTGGCAAAATATTTGAACATTCTGCAGGAGATAATAAAGTAGCAAATAATAAGCGCATTATGAGTTGTTCAATGTAATTATACCATAAAGAAAATGCAAATTAAAACCATAATGATAAAACACTACACACCCACTAAAAAAAAAAAAAAACCCGAAAGATAGGATGTTGATTAATGAGACTTTCACATACTGCTCTAGGAACTGTAGAAAAGGTTGGCAGTTTCTTATAAAATAAAACATGTTTACCCTAAGACTCTCTAATTCCATGATTACATTTCCATTTCTGAGATTAAAAACCTCTTGGTTGCTGTGTATTATCATATATGTCATATCTGTATATATGATTATATATACATAATTTCTGCACACTATTATGTATGTGTATCATATATACAGATATAATATAGAATAACCAAGAGAGATATGTGTGTATAGCTGATAGATACATGACTATATATGGTATACATAATATATATAATACATGTGATAATATTTATGGTAATACATTCAACAGTGCTGATTCAGTTTACTAATTCTGTTAATGATTTGTGTTTATACTGTTAATTTTATTGATCTTTTCAGCAAATCAGCCATTTGTTTCATTGATTTTTTTGTTTTGTTTTTCTGATTTCTGTTTATTTCTGTTCTTTTAAGGAAAGCACTTATTCTTCTCTTTCTGGCTTAAGTTAGAGCTTAAATTATTCAGACCTCTCTTCTAATAAGTATTGGAAACTAGGTTTTTAAGCACTACTTTAGCTGTATTACACAAATTTTGATATTATATTTTCATTTTTATACATTTCAGAATTTTTCTCATTTTCAGTTTGGTGTATTTTTTAGCTCTCAGATTACTCAGAGTGTTGTTTGCTTTCCAGTATCTGAGGATTTTTTCCAGAAATTTTTTGGTTGTTCGTGGTTTCCAAATTAATTCCTTGTGGTCAGAGAACATATTCTGTATAATTTCAGTCTTTCTTGATATTCTGGGGTTTATTTTATGGGCTATCTTGATGAATGTTCTATGTTTACTTAAAAGAAATGGTATATTCTGCTGTTGGGGTATAGTGCCCTATAAATGCCAGGTAAGTCAACATTGTTGATACTGTGGTTCAAACAAGTCTTCTGTATCCTTACTGATTTTTGTCTAATTATTAATCTCCAATGTAACACTGGATTTGACCGTTTCTCATTTCAGTTTTGCTAGTTTTTTTTACATGTTTTTTTTCTTTGTAACAGCTTTATTGAGCTATATTTCACCCACCATACAATTCATCTATTTAAAGTTTATAATTCAGTGATTTTTAATATATTTACTGAGTTGTACAACCATCACAATTATGGAATATTTTTATCACTTCAAAAAGAAACCCTGTACTCTTTAGCTATTACTCCCTAATCCTATATCCTCACCCCCTCAAAGCAACTACAAATCTACCTTCTGTCTCTTTATATTCATCTATTCTAGATAGTTCATATAAATGGAATCATAATATGTGTTTCTGTGCTTAACTTCCTTTATTTGGCATAAGGTTTTCAAGGTTGTTCATGCATTTTGAAGCTTTGCTGTTAGGTGGCTACACATTTAGAATTATTATTTCTTTTTGAATAATTGACCTCTTTATTATTATAAAATACCCATTTTATCCCTGGACATATTTATTGTCCTGAAATCTACTCTGTCTGGTGTTAATATGACTCTAGTTTTCTTTTGATTGGTGTTTGCATGTTATATCTTTTTCCATTCTATTTCTTTTAGCCTGTTATTGTTTCATGTAGATGTCATATAGTTGAGTCTTGCTTTTTTTTAATCCACTGGTAATCTTTTAATTGGACTACTTAGACCATGTACATATAACTATCAGTAAGTTTGGATTTAAGTTTACCATCTTACTTTTTCCCATTTTTTTCTTCTGTTCTCATTCCTTTTTCCCTCTTTTCTTTCTTGCCTTTTAGCATCCTATTATACACATGTCTACTATTTGCTTATTAGTGGTTGCTGTAAAGTTATCAGTCTACTGTCAAGTATCTTTTTGTGTATTGTATAAGAACCTTTCCATAATATACTTCCATTTACCACCCCACCCCCCAATTTCACATCTTTGTGATAATTATTGTCATACATTTTACATATACTGTAACCCACCACACCCTCATATGTTACTTTGGCTTTAAGGAATTATTTCTAAAGATAATTTTTTTAATGAGAATAAAATACCTCTCATGTTTACTATTACTGGTACTCTACATTCTTTTGAATAGATCTGCATTTTCATCTAAGTATCATTTTCCCTCAGCCTGAAGAAGTTTCTTTAACATTCTTTGTTATGCTAGTCTTCTGGTAACAGATTTTGTTAGCTTTTGTCTTAAGATGTTTTTATTTTATGTGTTTGAAGGACTTTTTGATAGTATTGAATTCTAGGTTGACTCTTCTGGTGTTTTGATATTGGCTTGAATAATCTGGCTTAAATGATTTCTGATGAGAAGCCTGAAATCATTCTTATCCCTCTTTCCCTGTTTATAAATGTAATGTATGAGTTTTAGATTTTTTTCTTTACCACTGGTTTTGAAAAGTTTGGTTATGATTTGCCTTGGTTATGATTTTTTTGTTGTTGTATTTATGTTGCTTGGAATTTCATTCGAAAATCCATTTTTGGGCATTGTCTGTAAAAATGTATTTGTATATTTCTGACTGAAGAATTTGGGGATTTCTTAGAATTATACTTAACCCTATTAACCCCAGCAAATAGAGTGGTTACAGTTTATTTTATTAGTACTTTCCTGATTAATGTCTCTTAATTTATTAAGAGTTATTCAGGAGTTTTAGGTATCATTGTAGTTACATTTGTCTTTATTGAAAAAAAAGTCATATGTACATTTACCCCATATGTACCTCTAATTTTTATGTAGTATTTTCAACTTTAGTACTTAATTTGTAGAAATATTGACCTTAGCTTTAAGACAAAACACTTACTTTTTTTGATATGTATAATTAATTACAGTCATTTCAAAATGTGGTTACACATAGCAATAATAAAATGAGTTGAGTTATTTTTATCTGTGTTTAGTTTGAAACTCATGGAATTAATCCCTTTGTTTGAATATGTAAAGTGGTCTTATTACAGTTTAACTTTATTTCTAAGACAGTACTTTGGTTTTGACCATAACTATTCTTGCTCTAACTGTCTAAGTTTAATAAGGACTTAACAGTAACACATTAGTGGCAGATTCCTCATTATCTCATACTTCTTTTTAGGCCTGACCAACCCCGAATAACCAAAGATGTAATTTGTTTTCATGCTGAAGATTTCTTAGAAGTAGTTCAACGAATGCAGTTAGATTTACATGAACCTCCACTGTCCCAGGTATGTTTAAACCATTATTGTCTCCAGTGTAATTTTTATTATGGAAAAGACTTACTAGTATTCCTTGTTTCTTTTTTTTAGTGTGTCCAATGGGTGGATGATGCAAAACTTAATCAGCTGAGGAGGGAAGGCATTCGCTATGCCAGGATTCAGCTGTATGATAATGACATTTATTTTATTCCAAGGAATGTTGTTCATCAGTTCAAGACAGTTTCAGCTGTATGCAGTTTAGCATGGCATGTTCGGCTGAAGTTATATCACTCAGAGGAGGACACTGCTCAGAATATAGCTGCTCATGAAACAGGCACATCACCAGATTCCACGTCATCTGTTCTTGGACCTCACACTGGCAATATGGTTTGTGCTGTAAGCAAAACCTCCTTGGATTCCATTTTTTCAGACAAACTTCATTCTAAATATGAATTACAGCAGATTAAACATGAGCCTGTTCCATCTGTAAGAATCAAGGAAGAACCTGTGAATGTTTATATTCCTGAAAAGACTAGAGCACCGAATATGGATGGCCAGAATGTTAAAGCAAAATTGGATCATGTTCAATTTAAAGAATTTAAGATTGACCTGGACTCTAAATTTGAAAATAGCAACAAAGATTTAAAGGAAGAATTGTGTTCTGGCAGTCTCATAAGTCTAGTTGATACAAGGCAACATAGTTCAGCGCATTCAAATCAAGATAGAAAAGATGATGACATTTTGTGCTAAATTTGTACATACCATCTAAAATTCTTTTTTTAAAACCTAATAATGTAATAAAGGTTCATAATTCTGAAAGCAAGCCAAGGACTTGCTCCCAAGTCTGTTACAAAATATAGTTTATGTAGCTTTGTAACATTCCTCAGTGCCTGTCCATAACTGTGAAGTATCGAAACACTTAGGGCCAGATGCACTGTAAACATTGCAGGTGTAAGCAAAAGGAGTCTAAAAATCATTTGAGTTAGAGTTGTAGGTTTTAGAATATAGCTGACATATATATATATATTTTTTGTAATATGAGCCAGAATTCTTTTTTTGACAAGTTAAGGCTTTTCCATAGAGCTTATTTATACCAGTTTTTTTTTTCATTTTAAATGTGTCAGCACTGTAGTGTAAATAGCTTTTAAAAATCTTTTTAGTGTGATTTATACTGAAGTGTGAGCCACTTAATAAAGGTTCATAATAATAAATATGTTTTCTGTTGGGTCTGCAAAATGACAAACTGGCAATTCAGTTAAATCATTCAGTTGATCTATTATTTCTGCTTGTATATTCATTTAGAATGGTAATGGAGTACAAATGTATGTATTCAAATCTAGTGAATATTTAAATTCCCCACGCAGTGCAAGCATTTTTAAAACCAAGATTCGGTTATGAAAGCATATTTATATATGTATGGGAGTGTGTGTGTGTGTGTGTGTATGTAACTATATATATAATATTTTGCATAACTTCTTAAATTGCTGAATTAGATGAATATGTGACACTTCCTAGCCCCACTCCCTGGAATACATTTTAAAATATTTATATTCAATATTAAGAAGGCAGTTTAGGTAATTGAAACTGTTTTATGAAGTTGGGAGAAACAAGGTGTGTTAGTGGTATCTAACCCTTCTAACTAATGAAGTTATGTTGCCAGATTATACAGCTCTCATAAATTTTCTTTATAGTGTATGGAATGATAAGAAGTTGAGAAGTTTTCTTACTAATAAGCATCTAAATAGTAGCTGAGTAAAAATCTTTAGTTAAAAAAAGTTTAATTGTGAGCAGTTAAATTCTTTTACATTTTTCTTGCAGAACAGGAAGTAAATATAGCAAAAAGAAAATCTTAATAAGTGCAGTGACTCAACTACTATACAGAGATGTAACTTACAAAATAAGATATGTTGTTATCTCACCTTCCTAAGGATCCCTTTTCCTGCCTCAGTAAGGTAAAAAATTTAGAGTACTACTTTTTCAAAAGAAGCTCTAGAAAGTAAAATTGGGGTAGGAAATACAATTGCCATTACCTAGCTAGATTGTTAAAATAAATCTGATGGACTTCACTATTTCAGATTGGTTCCACTACTGTAATTAAAAGTCAAAAGTGTCTTTATGCTTTGATGTAAGGAACTCCACTCATTGCCAATCTATTTTATTTTGTCTTTGGTATTTTTCTGGACTCATACTTTGGTTGATGACTTTCAATGGGGGTTTTTTGTGCTGCCGTTTGAGCTAGTGTTGCTGTTCCCATTTCAGTGGTTTCTGCTCCAACCCTCATTTGTTGTACCCATAAAACTGCTTATCTTAGAAAGTGGCATTTCCCCAGAGAAAAATAAACTGCAGCAATGATGTCATTTCTGGCCTCCAGATGAAAGGGTAGGCAAATATAGGAAATCATATGGTTTGTAGGAATCTATATATTTGCCACACAGGAATTTTCATGGTATAAGGAAGGTATAAATCATGATAATGTAAATAGGGGACTTTGCTTTTTATGTGACTGTCTTATCCTGTTCCTCACCACTTTAATCCTTTCTTTGAAGCTAAATGTCTGTATCTGCACCTACCTTTTTAGGAGACAAAAATTTCATAAACCAGTATTGAGAAATAGGAGAGGATGTGATTAAAATGCTTTTCTGTGTTTCTTTTTTTTAATTGAAGGGTGATATATTTAACAAAGTTTGTTTTAGTTCCAATTTCCAGTTGCATACACATAGATGCAAGAGATCATACTGTAAAAAAACATGTTTAAGGTATCCTCCCAAACTATATGAGCCTTAAGCTTTTAACTTAAAGACATATCTAAAACAACCGTAAGTGGTTGCTTTTAGTATAGTTTCCTATATAACCTACAGACAAACTTTCCCATATCCTGAAAAATTTGTTTTGTAAAATGCATATATCCCCGGAGGTGAAATATATAAGTGAGCTCAGATTTCAAGATACAGCTTTGTCACCTTGAATAATGTTTATGTTTCTTGTCCATTGGGTTATAATTATAAAATCCTCTTCAGATGCAGTCTGAAAACTTGTTGACTACCTTTGTCACACACACATAATTTCAGTTTCAATATTGCATCATTATTAAGGGTTTCCTAGTTAATACATTCCTGTTCTTTAAGTAAACAGAAGGTTTTTTTTTTTGCTGTTATTTCCAATTTCTTGGACCAGAACAATAAAGCACTTAAGATATAGTTTTTATATGATCTCATACTGTATAGAATAAAGTTATTATATAAATTATTAAATTGATACACAGACCTTTACAAAAAAACTATGGTACCTCAATGGTGTCTGCTGCAGTTTTTTTTTTTTTAATTCATACCCTTTTAGCTATCTAAGTAATATATATTTCATACTCAGGTTAGCTGGTTAGCTGGCAAAAGAATTAAGCATTTGTGATATGTAGTTGAAAACTTTACTGAAGCCATATTCATTATATTCCTTGTCCCTACGGCTATTGACCTTAAGTAAAGATTAGGTTAATCTAGCACAATACTGTGTGTGTTTGTGTGTGTGTGTGTATGACGCATGCATGTGTAAGACTGTTGGAAATATTGTTTGTTCCCACATACTCATTTTTAACCCATTCTGTAACTTTGGGGATGGGGTCACAGAGGGGAGGAAACATTTTATTTCTTGGGTTAAGTTTTCAAGGTATTTCATTAGTGTTCACAAGCGTAAGTTTTTTCCCAAATACAGCAGGTAAGATAATTTTTGTAAACAATAGATGTACATTGCTTTGGTAAATTTGAATTCAGTTAATTTTTTGACAAGCTCATTGTCATGTAAAGCAAGTATCTCAAAATTCATTTTACTTTTAGCGAAGGTGCAAGATTTGTCACTGAAGTTTGAGAGCAATTTTTCTGATCTTCCACATTTTAATAAATACTAAAATTGACACTGTAATCCTTTTACCTTTGTTTTGTAATTGTTTTCTTATATTTGTTATTTTCATCTTGTCATCTTTAAAAGTTCTTGTTTCCCTGTTTTAACAGAAACCATATGATCTTGACAACGATTCCAATCTGAAAATCTTTTTCCCCCCTCTTAAAAGCTAGTATCAAAAGTTGATTTATATCAACAGAGAAAAATATTGGAAATTGCCTTAAACAAGGTTGCTGAATCAGTCAGGCATGGGTGCTGGGATGGCATGTAAATCCCCTCCCTTCCCTCTAGACAGGACTGTTTCTGTCCTAGGAGGGGAGGACAGAGTGCTACTGTTCTTCCAAATACTCAATCTGGTTAAAAGTGACATGATGGGTTTTAGATCTTCAGAGTAGTGTAATAGCTCTTACTTAATTTTTCTTCCACCTGATATACAACTACTTTTGTATGTAAACAAAATTTTCCTGATTTTAGAATGTGTTGTCTATTTTGTGGAAGAGTTATGTTTGACAAGTTTGGCACTGATCGTATACCTCAGATAAGATACACACAGACACACACACACACAGACACACAGACACACACACACCCCTCCTCCCCCTCAGGAGATACATGAATCCCTTGATATCTGTCCTGGCTTTTCTGTTCAGTTCTTCCTGTAACCCACTGCATACTGCAGATGGAAATTATCACTTTTTAGCATGTCAAGCCCAAGGAGCCTAAATGCAGAGCTACCTTTCCTTTTTTAAGTTTACAAACATATACCTTATCTCTACTGGGAAAGCCGTAAAAGGAGAGGAAAATATCCTGCATTTCAGGTCCTCCTTTCTAGGACTTCAGACCCAGTCAGGGAATATGAATGAGCTGAGAACAAAATATGAGCAATTTATGTTTACTAGAAATTTAAAGTGAAATGTACTACTAGGCATGTTTTATTACTCTGCCTTCTAAGAACTGAACTATTAAAATGTGAAAACTCTGGATCCTTCTATACATTTTGAACTTTAGAATTTGCATGTTTTAAAAATGTTAAATCTTTGTGCTTTCGTATGAAGTTCATTGCTATTGTACTATTAAAAATTACGAAGTGTACAGACTCAGAAGCAAGTCAATATAGTTGCAGATACTACAATGTCTAAAATTTTATTTGGATAGACAGTATGATGTCCTCCCCTCCAAGTTTCTTCTCTTGAAATTTTGTTTTTGTTTTTAATTGAGCCAGATTTTTATGTGAAAGATCTTGTCTGCCTGCTTAAGAAAAAAAGCTCCTGTGTCTGATTTTCGTTCATGCTCTTGATCCACCTCCACCTCCTTCTGACTGACACAAAGTTCTTGGAAATCTCTGCCTTCACTTTCTCATCTCATTACAATTTCATTTTAATCCTCAAATTTAATCACTGAGCTAAATGGTTATCACAGAGGCCACATTTTGACTGCCAAATCGAGTGGCCTCATTTCTGTACTTCTATTTAATCCTTTAACATTTTATTAATCATTTAGTCCTTAAATCTCTGTATGACCTATCTGTTCTTTTGTGTTGTTTTTCCATTTCTTTGGATAGCTTCTTTTGCCCATCCACCACTATTTAAGACAGTCTCCATGGTTCTTTCCTTTAGGTCTCTACACTGTCCCTGAACTGTCTTCATGATCCCATGACATCAGTCAGCCTTGGTTTCTCTCTTAAGCTCTGATGATCCATGTTATCAAATCTGAATTCTTCTCTTCTTCTGCATCCCTAACAGTAGCTGTTCTTTCCTTCCTAATTTGGTTATTACCATCACTGTCTACACAGTTATCTCATGGTAATCTCATTTACCTATCTTTTCCTCTGTACAATGTATCATGAGGTTTTCTTTGGCTGACTCCAGGAACATTTATGATTTGTTTACTCTTGTTGTAGTATAGATACAGTATAAATGTTCACAGTCATAGCAGATGTGCATTTTACCTGGAATCTTAGAATAGCCTAAAATATTCTAGGCTGTTGTACATACACCCATTCCAATTCACTCTTTGCTACTACTAGATTAACCTAAGACCAATATGATTGTGACTGTTTTACTTGGAAATACTCTGTGGCTCTTTCTGTAAAGAATAAAGGCCAAATGCTCAGCGTAGCACTGAAAAGCCTTCATGATACTGCCCTTCATTTCTAGTTTCACCTAGCACAATCTCTGACATCTTCAGCTTTACCAGATGGCAGTACTTTTCATTTTCTTGTACTTTTCAAAATTCTTTGCTGGGGAAATCTCTGCTTGGAATATTATGTACTGAAACCTTAAGAAGAGATTCTCTTCTCCAAACTCCAATTACACTCACCTTTTGTGTGTATCTTTTCCTGATTTCATTGGCTGATTTGTCCCCTTACCCCACAACTGGTGTAGAACAATTCTTCCTTCTGCTTCCTGTGTCCCTTTGTTCACATCAACATACATACATATGAGTTAAGTACATGTTGGACTCCACCTAAACCATGAGCTAGAAGTTACATTTTCTTCATCCCTTTCTATTCCCACCACCTAATATATAATACGCTTGGTGTTCAATAAGTATTTGAAGAAATAGAAGTTGAGTATTAAATTTATTGGGGGTGGGAAAAGTAAATTATGTAGATTTTTATCATCTAAAAAGTCTGTCTCTGACTTGAATTCATAATGTAATTATGGAATTGGAACAGGAAAAAAGTGGAGAATAATAGGTCAGTAGGCACTATAAAGAGACCAGGTTTCTATTTTGTATTTAACTGCAGCCTTATAAAGTTTAAGAAGCTACCGTTTACAGATCTAGGCCCACTGGACAATGTGGAGATACTATGTTTACTATGTAAAGATAATTAAACCTGTAAAGCTTACCCAACTTTTTCTCCTTCAACTAGAAATACACTGAAAATTATTAAAAATTTAGGGTAAATTTTAACTATATCTAAAATGATTAAAATGGCAAATATGTAAGGAGCCCCTTAGCACCTCACAGTCTGAAGCAGAATTTATCCTTAAGTCTTACTTGGCACGATAAAATTTGGTTATAACACATTCTGATTAAGCTTGTGTGGTTTTCCCTATTGAAACTATACATAAACATTCAAAAATTGAAAAATATGATAACATGTACTAGTTTTTTTAGTCTAAATCTATTCTGTTGCCAGGGTAAGGATGGCATATTTTCACAGACATCCTTCTGTAAAGCCACTTCACTGGGATAATGCTGAGGGCATTTGTAGCAGTACAGCTTTGGGTCATTAAAGAATAATACACTTGTATAACACAGAGAAATTACTTCACTTGTATTTCTCATCTGTAAAATAGGGGGTAATAATCTATTCTGTTAATTGGTGTTGGAAATTAAAATGACAGAACATGCCAAATTGTTAGCACATTGCTTGGCATTTCTTAGTGCAAATGTTGGCTTCTGATCTGGAATTCAAAGAAAAAAGTACAGAATTGCTTTGTGCTAGGTTACCCTAATCATTTCACATCTTCCTCGTTAATCTCTTCTATGTATTCCTATCTCTAATTCTGGGATGAGGATAGGCATCTGGGAACAGGAGTTTCAAGTGGTCAAGGCAAGGTATGGTGGAGGATGTCAAAAACAAACATCTAACTAGTTAACTATTTTGCCCAGGGATGTCAGTTCAAAATCATGTCTTGTCACAAACTGCCTTTTCCTGATATAAGTGAATTATGAATTTGTGTTTGTAGTGTATAGATGATAGTGGTAGTAAATTTGCTTTGTGGCATAAGATTATCAGTATGATTGGCTGAGTTGAATATAGGGCAAGCAAAAGGAGAGGAAGACATTAAAGTGTAAGGTAGATCCCTCTTATAGAAGCTTTTAACCCAGTCTATCTAGTATTTGATAACTTAATCTTTCACTGATGCTTTCTATTTTTGTTTTCAATAGAAAACCTATTTATAGAAACAGATAGCATTTTGAGTTAGACTTCTCCATTTCTCAATGTCTTAGGCAAATTTCATTTATATGGGCTTTAGTTTCTCCATCATTATAATGAAGCTTTTGGGTTTTTTTTTTCCTGGTTCTAACATTCTCTAATTCCTATGTACCTTCACTATGTCATGAATTATATAGGTATACCATAATTCTTTGATGCGTGATGTTTACTGTGCAAACATGACCAGTCAAGATTAAAGGAATTTTCTTCGGTAGTTTATGGCTTGTTTTTTTTACTATAATGCTAAAAGGACTCCGATAATTTTCCTCTCAATAAAGAGAAGTAACTTTACCTTGATTTATGACCCAGGTGCATAATATGCTTGCACCCCTATACGAAAGAGTTTTCTGGTTTCCTCTTCTTTTTTTTTGGCTGCCTCTTTCATTAATCAACATCAGTTCCTCTACTTACTTGCTGAACTGTGAAAAAGCAAAGTGGAAACCAAACATCCAAATTTGTAAGGTTAGTAACTTTTACAATTAGAGGAAGCTTTAGCCCAAAGATGGATTTCACTTCTCAAAGCTTTGTGCAACTATTTTCCTTGGTGCCTCTATGTTCATGAAATGTTGAATAAGTCGTGGATCCTTTGATATCTATTTTCTACTTATTGTATTTTCAAGTCTTATAAAAAGTTATTTTGTCCACAAATTGCCTTCACCCAGAATTTCTGATAAATCTTTTGCCCAAACCAGATTCTTATCCATGCTAACCTGGAAAATAATAGCTTTACTAAGAACCTTTCATATTTAAGTTTCTTAAGGCAGTGTGTTAGTTCTTTTTACAAATACTGTTTGTAAACATCTCTGTATTATAAAGGAAGTATTCTCTAACTAAAAATAAAACAGGAAGGTGTTTTTCTTCAGTACTAATTGTGTAGTATTCCATTTGCCTTTCCCATCTGTAAGTATAAGATATGTAAGCTTATCTTAATTTTGTCTTTCAGTACTTGTTTTAAATGTATTCCAAACTACTGAGGCTCTGATATTGTGATTTTTAAGAAATATGTGTCTGTGTCCATTTCCTGGCACAGGAATCTAGCACCCTTGGAATTTCCTAAGTGATGCGTGATAAAGGTGTCTTTTGGAGTTCAATCACCAATTGCTAATAATTAATCATGCCTGTGTAATAATACTCCATAAAATCTCAAAGTTCCTAACCATGGGAACCTTGGGATTCTAAGGGCTTCCCAGCTGAACACAGGAGACAGGTTGAGTAGTGTGTCCAAAGAGCATGGAAGCTCCATACCCCTTCCCCGTACTTTGCCCTATGCATCTCTTCCACCTAGCTGTTCCTGAGCCATATCCTTTTGTGAGAAACCAGTAACCTAGTAAGTAAAATGGTTCTGAGTTCTGTGAGCTGCTCTAGCAAACAAATCAAACCAGATTGAAGGGGTGGTGGGAACCTTATCTGTAACAACTTGGTCAGAAGCACGAGTGACAACCTGGACCTGTGAGACCTGATGCTATCTGCAGGTAGATGTGTCCAAATTCCTTCCTTGGTGGTGTGGGGAAAAAAACTTACCTGAATTGGTGTCAGAATCAAGGAGGCACAAATTGATAATGTACTGTGCTGCTCCAAGTTATTCAGTGTGGCAGTGTACCAATTTAAGAAGAGTTCTATTCTCTGGGAACCCTTGAGAGATTATTACAACTGATTGATTCTCATGTATAAACAGGTTGGTGTTTGTGTTGCCTCTTACATATAATTCTTACCCAATTTATCTCTCCTTTCCTTGGAGATTTGTCCTACCTTTACTCTTAGCAATCAAACAAAATTTCTGCTTTTGCTTGTTTTATGGCCTCAGAGGCCAGCAAACTACTACTGCCCATGGATCAGAACTAGACCACGACCTGTTTTTTGTATAATCTGTGAGGCAAAAACACTTTTTATAGTTTTAAATAGTTGAAACAAAAGTAAAAATAATATTATGGTACGTGGAAATTATATGAAATTTAAATTTCCTGGTCCATAAAGTCCTCTTGGTGACATAGCCACAGTCTACGGCTGCTTCCTCACCACCAGAGCTGAGTTGAGTAGTTACAACAGAAACCATATGGCCTACAAAGCTTAAAATATTTACTGTATGACCATTTACAGAAAAATCCTGCTGACTCGTGGACTGAGTGTTTGCATGTGGTGCTTCTTTTCCTTTCTCCTGTGAAAGTTCATACATAATACTTGCACAAACACAACTTTTCCTAACTACAAAATCTTCCTGTCTTGTTTCTCAAGAGTTGAAAGCTTTCTTCTACTTTGAATGATAGATTCCAGAGACCAAATAGTTTGAATCTCTCAATCGAATTAGGAATATTTGATCAAGTCTGGAACATTATGTTCCCCGTATTAACCACCCTTAATCCTATTTTTAGGTACCCAAAATACTAATATATACCAACTACAAGACAGGAAAACATTTGTAATTGATCAACTTTTATTTATTTAGCTTGGCTATGTAGTTTCAAACAAGGAGCGAAGCTGTATTAATTTGTGGTATAGCTGAAATTTTGTCCTGTTATCTGTTTTTACAAAGGACAACTAGACCAAAATATCCAAGCAATCCTCTCAAGTATTATCAGCCAGGAATCACTTTGTTTGTTAGATATTTTTAAAACAAAATACTACTGTAGATTCCTCCCCAAAGCTAAAGGTGATGACCAGGTAGGACAATAACAATCTTAAAAACAATGCTTTATAACTCTGGAATTCTTATTTAATTTCTAACTCTGGAATTCTTGTAAATATTGCCATCTATGCTTCACTGGAATTGGTTAAATACCTTAGTAGGGTGGTCTATAATTTCTCAAGCCAGGACATTTCTAAGAGTGAAAGGGGCACTAAGTCCCTGAGACCCCAGGAGAACAGGCATAATACTGGGCCTCTCCTGACCTAACCAGGATGTATATATAGCTCCCCCAATTTTAGGAAGAGGTAAACTTGTTTTAACATGTCACTTCTAAGTCATTTGACCCAAACAGAAGGCAGAAGTTACAATGAACTTGTTAGCCTACATAAGTTATCTGTCAAACTCGGTTTTTCTGAATATAAACATGAAGTGACTCCCCTAAGTATTTCAGTGACTAGGTGTTGACCTTTATACTTTAGAAGCACAAATGACCATTTACGTTGGTAATAATGGGGCCAAGATATATTAAACCTCACCCCAAATATGTAAAGGCTTTGTATTTACTTTAAATATTGACCACATACAACAGAGTCAAGTAGAAACATAAAGTCCAAAACAAACTTTATTTATATAGGGATTAATAAGGATATTAATTACTCAAATGCTGAATAATTAAGCTTTGGGTTGACCAGAAGTCCATGATTCACCAAGACTAATTTATGGAAGCAGTATAAAACTACATTTGGTATTTTTCTCAGTTCTCTGGTATTCTTCAAGCTTGCAAACATTCAGAACACTTTAATGATAGCTTGCTGAACAGCAATAAAACTGAGATGATGTCCTTAGAAGTCAGTCTCTCACAAAAAAGACGTTATATCCAAGCTCTATCAAAGCCCCAGCCAGTAAGGCCCATAAAGGAATGAAGACATAGGACAGATTCATGGTAGTAAACTGTTCCAGTTTAGCACAGAGGGCAAGGCAGAAAGCTAATTTAAGTAACATTGCAATGAGGTACCAGGCTTTTTTTTTAATATTGTGGGATCCATGTCGAGGGTCAAAGCCAGACTTACATCGCCCAGCCATTTTCACAATCAGCATGACAAGAAGGATGGTATCAAATATCCAGACTGGAATAAATATGAGGAACCAGTTCCAAGGTGCCTTCTCATCCAATTTCAACACCAACATGATCAAGAAGAGTAATGTGAAAAGCCAGGTGAGTAGCACTCTCTGAGCCAAGGACATTCTCATTTAAACAGTTTAAAGAGGCTGCTGCAGAGTCGGAAAAAGGTATATATACCCTAAGAGAAGGAAAAAAGGTCAAGATTGTTTTGATACCAGAAAAAAAAAGCATTTCCATTCCTAGTGAACTAATCTGGCTCTTTCCCACTCACAGATCTCCTAATTTTGAAAACATTCTCTTTTCTTCCTTTTTAAAACCTGTAAAACTTGTAGCCATCTTTGACATTATATCCATCATTCCTTATAGTCCCTGCCAAAATACATAAAATTTGTAGTATATCCACTGGGCATAAGCTCTATTCAAAATGTCTCAAGAACAGTTTGTTCCTTTTCATTGCTATCACTCAAATCCAGGCACCCATGACGTTATTCCTGCCTCTCAGGAATGTTCAGAACCTCTTTTTGTACACTTGCACATCTACACATTTTCGTTCAATTTCAAGGAGTACTAAGAAAAAGCATTCAAAATTAAAGTAGTGAAAAAGGAGGCGTATCAAGCCAAAAGAGGAGTTTTAATAAGGAGGGAATGGTTAATAAAAATAAGTAGAATGATGATTGTAAAGAGGTCATGGGCTAAATAATATAGAACACTGATAACGGATTTTCAGTTTTATCTGTAAATCTTGTGTTTTTAAATTAAAATTTCTCATTAACATTCTTTATAAAAACCTATTTTCATAGTGTAAGAATTTTTTTTCTTTTTAATAATACTCTGAAACTTTTGGTTTGTGGTATATATAGATCAGGATTTTTTTACTACTTGTTATAATAAGAAATTTCATGTTTTTTGATTATTAGATCCTAAATGACTCAATAATTGGGGCTAATTCTTACATCCCTATTTTGTCTTAGTCATCTAAACTTCTGCTTTACACTAATACTATATAACAATTATTGGATATGTTCTAGGATATGTTCTAATAGCCAGAAGGCTGGTGGACCTACTCATTGGTGTTTTTTTCCATAATATTTTCTATTATTTTGCGTTTTCATTTTTTTCAATGCTAAAATCACTAATTCTTAAAAACTTGCAATGTTTGTTGGGAACACATGATCCATAATACTTAGGTATATGCATTTACTTAATCTTCACATAAAACTTACAGTATGTTTTATACTTCAGTTTTTTATATCAACCTTGACTTAACAGAAGATAACAAAATGCATATAGTTGACATTTTATTCTCCTGAAACATTTGGAGAAGAGGAAAGATAAGAAATATACTGAGACTGAGAAGGATTTACAACGCAATTTTCAGCAAAGGAGGAATCTAAGTATGATTATAAACTGAGGGAAATAAGTCACTGGAGAGTGACAGATTGACAATGAGAGAGGACACTTGATGGAAAAAGATCAGAAGATGGTCCAGATGGTAACAAAAGCATGGATGGAAGGAGTAAAAATGGAGGAAGAAACAAGGAAAAAGTGAAGAAACTGGCTAGATAAAATGCCCTAGACTAGCATGTTTAATTAATTATATCTTAGAACTAACTTTGATGTTCTCTGTTATATCTCTACCACTTTTAACAGTGGGTGGCAATTATGGTGCAAGGGTATATATGTTTTACTTCAATAGTGACATGAATCAAGTCCTAACTCTCCTCTTTCCACCTACACCCATCTGCACTTAATTTGTTAACTCAGCGGGCAGATGCTTCGTACTGCAGTATGAAAAGCAGATGCTTTTGGCTCCCAGTTACAGTCTTCTGTGCTGGTTTCCTTGCCTGGCCAGAAGCTGTGGGGGATGTGGGGGATGTGGGACTCAATTTGGAACAAGAGGTAGAGTGGTACTGATTAATAAATACATGGATTTCATCTTGTAAATTAAGTTTACTCAATCCCGTTCCCCAATCTATCTGGCCTTTTTTGTGAACGTTTAAAAAAATGACGATAATATACCTAAACGTAACTTTTCCACCAGCCATTGGATGAGTCAAGCTTCATTTTTTTTTCTCATGTAGGACTCAGAGGCATCTGGTCATAGGAAGGGTAGCTGCACTCAACACAGGTATTTTAGGACTTGAGGTGGAAAGGATGCAAAAAACAGTCTGTGGCTGTTTTATAATGTGGGCTGTAACAAAGTTCTGTATGCACTTGTACTAAAATGCC